TCAGACACAAAGACGCATCATATAACAGCTTCTCTGCTCTGTAGTGTGTAGGACGTCTTCAGCTCTGTGTGGAGTAATGCTGTGGAAACAGTATCTGTGTACTAATGTTCTGTGATTTTAACCTGTGACATCCTTCACCACCAACTCGTTTGCTTTTCTTTCTCTGATCATGTTTGAACTGTAGCACAGATGTAAGTAACACGAGAACGTTACAAATGTTACAAATGTTACAAATGTTACAAATTTGAAAGAAATGAAAGAAGACAAAAAGTCTTTTGAAACATTGTTTCACATTGTGGAGCTCGTACTCTACAGGTGATGGTGCTGCTACATGAAGTCTTTGAAAGGATTTCTTTATTTTTAAGTCGTGTGTCTCATTTCACACCAACCTTCTCTGTTAACTGCAGGAGATGACCATACCGTGGTGTCTTAAAAGGGCGGAGCTTGTATTCAAATGTGTCAAAGGTAACATGGACGTTATGCATAGCTGTTGTACAGTATTCATGGACATACCGATCGGTCGTTCAACCGTCTGTCAAACATAAATATACAGAATACTTAATACTGTTACTTTATTATGTATTAATACACAATAATTGTGCTTAACATTGCATGCAGCAATGTAAGAATGAAAGGTGATGTTCATGCTAAATTTTCTTTGCAGGTTTTATGATGGAAATGGCGTCGTGGGACGGCGGTGTGTCACGCACAGTCCAGTTTCTAGTGCCAAAGGTGAGATCAGTTATTCAGGCTTCAAACGTGTAGCTGTGGATACGCTGTTGTTCTCTGAGTGACTGCCTTCCGGCCATGCTTCATGCTTCTTTTAAAGAATTGTATACTTAAGGCCTCGCACGTACATAAGGTAACAAAAGGCACACCTGGCCTTGCAGTGCATGTCTCCGACTGCACACCACGAAGAGTTAAGAGTGCCATAAATCATAGATTACAGAGCTTTAAGATATTTTAGCTCCATATTTGCACTGCTGTGATAAAAGAAAGCTCAGACTCAGTCACATAAATGTGTGATAAGCAGTGGGATTAGTGTGCAGCTCGCCAACACTGAGGTGTAATCACTTTCCCTTTGTTGGAAATCCAGGTCTTATGTTCATTTGTTATTAAATAAGTTATAAAAGAAAGAGAAAAAATATTGGGTTTAACTTTGAAGCGAGGTTTTCTGTTATTTTGATTGAAGCTTGCCGCGCAGGATGAATCACGGCCGTTACTATTTGCGAAGCTATACATGCAGAGTTTTTGCGGTTTGTCAGGAAGGCGGTGGATCCTATAGAACGAGCTCCCGCTGACAGGATAAGATGATAAAACGAGCGGCATCAAAGGACTCTGACTGTACGGGCTTCCTGTCAGCTACATGCTCAGACACCATTCAAAATAGCAGCTACTGAAACGACATTGTTGTCTGCGACTCAAAGAAACGCTGTGTCTAAATATAAGCCGTGTGTTTGCGGGACGGTGCTTCTGCTTTAGGATTACTTACATTCTTGCTTGACGGGTGGCAGTGCTTAGAGTGTGTCCCCTGTTCCAGTCACAGCTGCTGAGCTCACTTCACTTCAGGACGCCGCCGAGGCTGTTAATACTTGACTGGATGCCAAGAGTTCAGCTGTATTTTTGTTTTTTGAGGAGATGTTTCCGTGCAAACCTCAGTCTGCTCACTAACCCCGGTCACCCCTCTGTGTGTCTCTTTGTACTGACAGACTATCTCAGAGGAAATGTTCTACCAGTTGAGCAACATGCTGCCGCAGATCTTCCGCGTCTCCTCTACCCTTACTCTCACCTCGAAGCACTGATTGGTTGAACCTCAGCTCATTCAAATGAAGACAAGTAAAGTCTTTGTGTTGTTTTTATTAAACTAGGATGAATATAGAGACTTTGTGACATAGATAACTTCCATTTGTTGTTTAAAAACAATTCAGTTATGGTGGCATTCAGTGCAAAAGAATTGATGAACTTTCCTATTATTGCACCGTCCAAAGCTGCTCACTCTGACTGGAAGAGGACTGGATTCACTGGCACGCTCAAACAGCTGCTGCAGTTATCATTTAGAGTCTCCAGGGTGTGGTTCTGGTGACAGCGTTTTATTACATTAGCTGCCAGTGCTGCAGACAGTTTTCCTTTAAAGCTGCGATCTGCAACTTTGTTCACGTTCAGCTGCTTGAAGTCGGTAAAAA